TTTACCAGTATTCAAACGAGCAGAAGAGCGAAGCTAGCAACAGCTTGGTGCAATCGTGAATACACTAGAACCGCTTTCCACACTGAGTTGAAATCTGAGTATGGATTGGGTACATCAATGATACTGCAGCAGGCACCGGCATTTACCTAGCAGAAAAATGGCGTCAAAAGACATCGCGTTCGTAAGATAAAAGCATTAGGCAGAGGAAACGAGCTTTGCTGCAATTGGCCTTCATTTAGTATCACAATTACCACGACGATGCTAGAAGACCACCGATTGGACGAGAACGATTCTTGCCTACTTATGGGACTAATTTTTCGATATCAGCTGTGCAGAAGGGACCCGAGAATGTCCGCAATCACCACCTCAAGCCGGGATACCACGACCCACGGATCTCGCTTCTTTACAAACTTTGCACGATGGATGCCGTCCCACGACAGGACGCAGGTGTGACGAACAGGGAGCCAAGAAACCAGTGGGACTGCTGAACGAGGTAGGGCATAGAAAGATGCAAATGAAGCAAAGCCAATTTCATGGCCCGGAGCAATCCTGAGCGGCAAATTCGAACGTACTGTGAAATCTGCTCAATGGTTGTGTTTATACTGAGCCCCAATGCGAGTACTTTACAATAAAACCCTGATCCTACATATACTCCTCTTGCTTGTTTATCGATTTCAGCTGCGAAATTGATACATAAAGAGGGTAGACTACAAACAGAGAATACTTTGACATGTGGCACAGCGGAGACCCAGAACGCGGTCCAGAACATGAAGTGAATTCAGATGGTGGCATATGCCTGCACAGAGTTGTGGTGGGAATGGTTGTCCCTGCCGTTTCTCCCACATTATTAATACTTCGCATTTGATTTCCATCATCGATCGCAAAACGGGCAGGGATCTGAAACCCAGCAACACCCTCATGAGAATGGCTGTCACCTTCGCTGAATGACAAGCACATGTGCAGCCAGCACATCACGGCCGTCGTCGACGCGCCCATACGTCAGACTCCAATTTTTCTGCACCTAAGAAAGGCAGGTGCCCCCCTGAGAGAGGGTTTACATTTGGTCAGTGCTTGAATCAATATCATGCATTGCAGAGCTCGTTGTGGTACGCTCTCCGCCTCCGCTCGCCCGTCACCCAGCTGCGGTGTTCCAGCCCAAGTCATTTGGAATCAGAGGCAATACGCGACGAAGAAGCCTTGATTTTCAACGAGGCGGTTTGGTCGCTGCGCAACAAGTAAGTGCCGAAATTTCGGACAACTGTTTGTTGTTGCCAGCATTGACGTGAGTTTCCCATTTCGCACAATTTTCACCCACAAGTTAGCAGCACAAACTTGCTAGAATTTGCGAATCTATATCGATGGAATAATTGGAACAATGCTGCGCAGACTGGCCCTTAGCCTGTATGCCATTCCCAATGAGGGATCAGAATTTTCAACTGAATAGCCACCTCGAGGTTCCGCCACCAGCAGTCTAACAACACGAGGTCTCTGCATATTTCGATACCGCTCCTAAATGATTTGCACTCTGCAGTTTTTACTGGTGAGGTCAATGTGCTCTTCCAACATGCAGACCATGCAGAATTTTGCCATAGTTGATGAAACAGGGGGCTTGTGTCTCACCATCATGCAATGATTCCACTTCCTCAAAAACACATGGTAGCCATCGATCAAAAGAAGAGCTGAAATGAGATTCAAGCAGCCATGCCGCCCGGCTTGAAAATTTCTAGAAGTGATTAGAACAGAACTCCGAATTTGGTGGACCAGAAACCTAAAATGTGATGGCTTTTGCGCTGACATATCTACACTGTTCCAACAGATTGCGATGCAAAGGTCCATCGTCACTAAGAACTCACTTCGGTGCTCTGGACCCAACCAATTCTGGATGTCTCAGCAAAAAAGAATTTCATCAGGCCATGAGGAACATGAATATGGGACCGTGCTTCACGGATGGTGTCATAGGGCAGCTTCTGGAATCGTTTTGTCATCGGAAGCGGTTGCCTTCCAAACAAGTATGCTACGAACAGTTCATCGAGGCCTTGCGCGTTGGTGACATCAAATACCAGCCGTTAAATCCGCTCTTCAAGCACAAGGCGAAGCCCGACCCAGAATTGCCATTGGGAAATCCAGATATCAGGTGGGCAGGGGCAAAACGAAATATCCAGCCTAAGCCGTCGTTTCTGCCAGCCCAAGGGCGTTCCCAACAGAATGCGAGGGACAGCATCGTGGATGCATGCATCTGATAGTACGCACTAGCACAGCGGCCACTGCCACTGCTTCCGCAGCCTATAACCGTGCTGCAGCGAATCGTTTCTGTGTTGGTGCTGCTGCTACAGCAGTTGCCGCGATACGCAATACCACCTGAGGTGCTTGGACTTCAAGACTGGCAAGTGCGCGGACACTCTGTCAGCACAGATCATCGACTATTCCTTTGCTTCATCCACATAGGCGGCAGAAAAAAATCCGTTGCCGTCAAATGGTACGTTGTGGCCGCAGGTGCCCCTGGGGTGTGGACCGGGACAAGGACGTTAACTGCAAAGCCTGGACGGACAAGTACGACGGAATTCTGAGCTCCCTGGAAGCAGAGTTCAACAAAGTTGATCCGGACGCCGATGGAGAAATTGATTTCAGCCAGTTTCAGTCCATAATGAAGCGCCTCCACGGCAAGTACAAATTCGAAGTGAATGACGACGACATCGGGAGGCTGTTCAGGGATGTTGATCTGAGGTGGAATGGAAAGATAAGCTACAACGCCTTTTTGAAGGCTTGCAACGGTGAGCGGTTTTCGCTCTAAGCTGGCACGAACGCATTGCTTTCCCATTCTCACAATTCACCCCAACCAGCGAGGCTTTGGGATGCGCTGGGTGGTTCCTTGTAATAGAGCATCTCAGTGTGTGATTGTCTGAGTACGTGCGTGCAACTTGTTTCCTGCGACAGGTTGCGCTGGGCAGCGTTTCATTCCAGAATTCATGAAGCCCAAATCCCAACGATGCAGTCAGAATGGGCGCCCATGGGAGCTGTGGACTATTGAAGAAGTCCAAGGATGACTCGAACATCACCAACCTCGAGTTGCAGGACGGGACAAATATGGATACAATTGAAGGAAGTGATCAGATAATCGACAATGCAGATGGCCATGTAGGCACCCATCATGCTGCAGGTTGCAACTGCACAGAAGAACCCAACCTTTGGCTGGTGTTTCTTTCCTGGGACAGTCAACCCTTTGACCTACTGGAATTGTGTATCGTCCTCTGTTCTGCCGATGCTTCTTGTATCTCCCGCCAAAATACAATGCATGCCTGGGCAATCCGGGTACAAAAGCAGTGGGTGCAAGCCCCGCAATCATTTGCATGAGTGTGTTGCAAGCACATTGTTGGCGTCCTCTGCACAAAGCATTGCTTTGAAAGCACTGACTGTGTCCGCAGCCCCTCAAAAACAATAGATGGCCCAAATATCTATCGTGCAACCAGAGCGGTCCACGTCACACCATGGTCATCATTCACGCACACAGGACTTGTGCCATGCACGGAGGTCGCCTACGCTATGCTGTGCATTCGCTTCTATGCATTCTCTTGGGACAGTCTGCTTTCAGGGACAGAGGACAGAGCAGTGCCAGAACTGGGAAACAAACCACTGTTGCAAGTTCTGTAGCTGGCGATCGCATTGTCTGCCAAGCAGGGGCGTCCCATGGGTCGCCTATTCTCACTGGCAAAGGGACTGAAGCGACATCAGCTGCGAAACTTGCGATGCTGAAAACTTAACTTCTGTTCAAGTGCCGCATGGCAAGTGGCATTTTAAAGATTCACCATCAGGCAAGGAATCTTTGCACACACAGCAGTGCAAATTTGTGCCAGTCACCCATGGCATGGCGATGCAAGCAGTTGCACATACACAAAACTACTACTGTGGACAATATGCTCCTTTCTTGTTACAAAAGATGCTGTGCACATCTTTCCCCTGCCTTTTGTTAGCTCCTTTGCACTCCCAACTCATTCTATTTCTTATCAACTTTCGAAAGGTTTGGCCGTCTGCTCCCAACGGGATGCTTTGAGCCGCTCAGGGCAGCCTTAGAGGAGACTTCCCCCATTTGGCCAGCAACACAACCTGCTTCTGATGCACACTCTGAAGATGGCATGTGGCAATCTTCAAGTGCGGAAGCACCACTGCAAGTTAACTGTCTCCCTGCAAATTTTGCACCTACAGCAGCACAAGAGGACAGCTTCGCAGCAACAGATGACAGTGAATGGCGACCTGGCAGAGCTGCAAGCAAGGGCTTGCTAATGGGAATCGAACTGGGCAGAATTAAGATTCCTTGTATTGTGCATGTAGCAGCAAACTGACTCAAGTCTAAGTCACTTTTTCTGGTTCTGCTGTATTCAACAGGACAGTGTGCTGATATACTAGGCATGGCCTATCAACTTTCACAATATCAGCTAACGAAGGGGATTAGAAGGTGCCACCACAGCAATGCTGCACAGCATACATGCACAATCATCAACATGCTCAGAATCATTTGAATCTAATGCTTCATTGATGGACTCTATTATTTTATCTCCTCACTGGGGAGCGGGTGCCAACATTCTACACTGATCAGCACTGGGACATGGATCATCACAACTGCTTGCAGCACAATGACATCCAAATTAGATTTACATCGCTGAGAGAAAGTACAGCAAACTGGCTGGAATGCCCCGGACTTGGCCTTGCTTTGAGACCCACCAGCTCCATAGAAGAACAGCGGTCGTCCATCATACAATTGGCTGCACTCTGCTGGTGAATGTGCAGGGTTTTCCCAATATCCCGACTTTCTGAAAGTCGTTGCAAGGTCTTCGATACCTTGCAAGTTCCAAAACCTAACCTGCACAGCATTCATGCAATTCCACATTACTACATTGGTAATACCAACCTTCAGGTCAACTAATGACTGGAAAATTTTGCAGCAAATTGTGAAACATCCTGCTTTCCCAAAGACGGCAGCATCGCATACGTGCCGGGGAGCACACCTTTATGCCTTGATCAGTTTTGTCATCGTCATCAGGTGAAGGCCTCCAGAGGAACTCCTTGCAGTGGGCCGCGAAACCCCCAACATCATTGTGATCTACTAAGTTCACAAAACAATATCGAGATGCTTCCCCATGTAGCTCCTTCACACATAAAAAATTGTATTTTCTTCTGTGCCTCATGTCAAGAGCAGCAATTACATCTTTTACGTTGCATTCTTTTGGCACGGGGCCCAGTGCCACCGTTGCTCGCTTGTCACAAGGGTTGTTCACAGCTGCTAATGTGACGTCCTTGTTGGCAAAAGTCTCTCTGTGGAAAGTTGGCCACACTGCAGCTTGTTTGCGGCTCTTTTTAGACCCCTGTGCAGATCGCTGATGCAGCTCCGCAATCTGGACAGCCTCCCTCTTTGCCTTCCTGCCTACATGGCGATGTGTTTTCTCACAACGTTTGTGCGCCAGCTCCAAAGGCCCACCGTGCAATTCAGGCAAGGCATGAGGCAAAAATGTTCCTTGTCGTGCAGCACCCTCCCCTTGCCAGTAGGCGGCCAGCAAGTCTTCCACCTAGAAAACCAAAAGCCTGACTTGAAAATATGAAACATTGTTATCACCTCTCCAGCAGGTTGACTCAGCAGCAACTTTCTTCCGTTTCCAGTTGTCTTCACAAGCTAGAACGCTAAAAAATCCCCTAAGAGCCAATTGTTAGGGCAACTCATTCCAGTGCCACACTCTTGATCCACACGTGGTCGACAAATGTTCGCTCAATGGTGTTCATGTAACACTGCAGCTGTCCAGAAACGACAGGACGCCGCCCATTCCCTGCAATGAGATGTCAGTGCAAACATCGGGTTCCTGCCCCAGTAGCTCTGATAGCAATCCAATCATCGTGACGGTGGACGACGAAAGCAAGAAATGGCACATAGCAGCGCTGCATTGAAGCTAAACTATTCAAACTATTACCTGTTCCAACGTGAGCGGGATTGGGACTGTGTGGCCGTTGTGGAAGCTTCCTTTCAAGGTGGCCATGAACGCGGCTTCAGATAGAGGTGGGCAGTCGGCGATGCGACGCACCCGAACTTGCCATGGGCACTGTCTTTTGAAAGCAACAGGGTCGAACGTGTTGCCGCTCGTGATAGCTTCGAAGACTCCAAGCAACTCCTGAACCAATGCAGAGGAAGTTGTACTTGGCAGGCCAATCAACAGTGGCAATGCACCCTGTGCCGTTTGCGCTTCTTGCCGCACACGGAGACTACAAAATCACCTGACACAGTATGGAAAAGGAGCTCAAGAGATTCTTGATCTTGGGGGAGGTGCTCACTGTATGACATATTCTCGTTTGTTGACAGGGACAACCCTTGGACAAGGCATGGACCGCCATCCGCTGCCCAACAGAGGTTCTGCATGCATCATTCTCAAAGGCTGCGAATGGTGCGTCCATCGGGATCAGAAGGCTGCGGAAGGCGCACGGTGGGAATGAAAAATGCGACAGATCAGTAAAACCAGTGGGCCATGGCCTGCCGAAAATGAACCCCGCGAAAGTATGGTTACTCAGGCTGTGGAAAGGAGAACAGCTCAACAGATATAAGCCGCAAGTGCTCAGGGCCAGAAGGGCGATCGACGTGCTTACCCGCTTGGTGTGATTGAACAGGAACAACTTCATCCCCGGCTTCACCGCCATTACGAGGCGCTTTTTCTCCGCTGGAAGGCCGAATAGGCCCCTTCGCAGACACTCCCCCACCGTGGTTTGGGTGCACCCGAAGATGGCGCCTGCCATTTCCATCCTGAGCGGCCACTTCCCCCGTTGGTCACGACCAAAGTCGGCCCTCGCTTGTGCCGGTCATCACTGCACACGCTGCACGCACCTGCCGCGCGTCATGAACAAGAGCGCGTGGGTCTGTGTACGCTGAGGTGGTGACTTCTTGGCACATTCCAATTGCTAAGACCACCATTATTCATGTCGTCCCCCGCGCTCAGTGGAGGACACATGTCCGGCATATGGTGACTGACGGGGTTGTTGACGGGGCTGTGTTGTGAACAAAACACCACAGGCCAGGCAGGTATTTGGCATGGACAGCCGCTGAGCGTTGCCCCTCAAAGCGCT